GGCATCCAACTTTGGCTCAGGTCATGATCTCTCAGTTCGAGAGTTCGAGCCCGGCGTTGGGTTCTGTGCTGACAGCTCAGAGCCTGGAGCCTGCTTTGGATACTGTGTATCCCTCTCTCTCTGTCCCTCCCCCACTCCACTCTGTCTGTTTCTTTCTCTCTCTCCGTCCCTCTCTCTCTCAAAAATAAACATTAGCAAAATTTTTAAAAATTAAAAAAATAAACATTATTAGAGGTGGGAGTTGGAGTATAGGCAGAAGCCCTCTATGCCTGCTGTGGATGTACAGGAAATGTGTGGAATAGCATTTCTCTCTGAATTTTTAGCCATCCTTGTGGAAGCATATGTAGCCTCACCAGTAGTGATTTGAGATACACTTTTCTAATTATTGAGGAAGGAAACAAAGTTACAACATTTTAACTATCTTGTAAGGTAACAAAACGGTGGAAATGAGGATACTGGAGTCAGGGCGTGGGGGTGTGAATTGCATCTGCCATTTACTTGTTGAGTGACCTTGGGAAAATTATCTACCAAGTCTGTGCTTCAATTTCTTCCCATGTCAAGTTGGAATAACTAAAGATGCTAATCTCTATAGTGTTGTGCCCAGTTAATGTTACTGAAACTTTATGTATTAAATGGTATCTCGCCACCAGAATTTTACCAAATATCATCCCAATATTTTGTATTTACCTAATTTTTTAACAAAAACAACTTTTATAAAATCATTTGTTTCCAGAAAAATGCAACTACAGTTTTTGTGCCCAAAAGAAAAAAAAAGTGGAAGTGAACTACCTAAAATTTAAGGCAGATCTATGTATAACTGTAAGTCTCAAGTTCTAAGTGTGGAAAAATTCCTTGTGTGCTGCCTGTGTTTTTGACAGCTTTCCTGTCAACACAGAACTGAAAATTTAAAAATGTAAAACTGTTATCAACATGAAAATGACAGAGATAATCTTTCAGAAAGGAAACTATATGGTTATTTTGCTGGTCCAGTATGTGAGAATCTTTAGTTTGAGTGACATAAACACGTATGTTTCCTTACCAAATAATATACAAAATAATTTTGATGCCTTTAGATCTTGCACTATTCTGGGCACTGCATTTTGAGATAGACTCAGGTTCTGCTCACAGGGTGCTTATGTTTTAGCAGGATGTGCACTTCTGACTTTTCGACAGTTGATCTGCCCTCAAATACAGGAAAGGAAAAGAAGGATTCACAGACTCTTGGTGTCATGTATGAGATTAATAGAACCTGCAAATCCTGGAGGTTACTCAGTCTGTAGAACTGCAACCAGGATTTGAATATTGTCTCAATTTCATGGGTGACCTTGTTTGTTACCTAACCTCTACTTGGAGAATAAGATGGCAACTCTGAAAAGAATGTTGATGGGGAATAATTGCATTGATCTTGTGCAGTTCCTGGGACATACTTGAAATTCAATAAACAGAATAAGTACCTTTCTCCCACCTCCTTTTTTTTAGATTTCACCCCAATTTGTTTCAGTGCAGTCTATTCAAGGTACAATTTGAGTGCTAATACCAATGCTATGCAATTCTTTCTGCTAATATTTGCTAATAGATGGTTCAAATCCCAGAGACTTATGTCTAGACCTAAGGGCATCAACTCTTCTATCAGCATCATATTTAATGTCAAGATAGGCATAATAATAGCTAACATTTACATACACGTCCTGTGTGCCAAGCACTGTTCTAAGCACCATCCAGATGTTCAAACACTGAATTCTCACAGCAGTCCTATGTAGTAGGTATTTTTCTTGAGGCATAGGGAAATTAAAACTGGCCCAAGCCAATAACTAGTTGAGGTCAGGATTTGAACTTAGCATTTGGCATAGCATCAATGCACTCACACCCTACATCTGAAAATTAGAAAGATTTCATCAAATCAGGAAAAAGAAAAGCAATGTATCTTATACTTCGCTCAAGAACCTAGACTCTGCAACATAAACAACAAAAAATGAATAATATTGATAAGAAAAATATAAAAGCTTCCTTTTATGTGAACAGTACTGTCTTCTACATTAAAAAATCCAACATAATTAACTGACAAATTGTGATAAATATTAAAATCAGTAAAGTGACCTTATATAAAATCAAAGTAAAAAAAAACACTTAAAGTTTTGTTATTATTTATTTTTGAGAGAGATACAGAGACAGAGTATGAGCAGGGAAGGGAGAGAGAGAGGGGGAGACACAGAATCTGAAAAAGGCTCTAGGCTCTGAGCTGTCAGCACAGAGCCTGATATAGGGCTTAGCTAAAGTCAGAGGCTTAACCCACTGAGCCACACAGGTGCCCACAAATCACTTTTTTACAAATAAGCAGCAATTTATTTTTAAAAATTTCCATTCAAATAAGAATATAAATCAAAAGTCATAAGAATAAGCCTTGTAAGAACAATATGCAAAGCCTTCAAGCTGAAAATACAGACTTCAAAATTAGACCTAAAAGATCTGAATAAATAAAGCTATCGTGTTTGTGGATGTGATATCAATATTCTAAAGTTTTAGTTTTCAAAATAATTCTTAATAGGATAGTCATGAAATTTCTGGTAGGATTTTTCATGGAATTTTTTCCTAAAATCCATATGGAAAAGAAAATACAGAAGAATAGTTAAAAAGGTATAAAGATTAACAGATGTACTATCAGATATCAAAACATAATTGAAAACGTAAATAAGGACACCTGGGTGGCTCAGTTGGTGAAGTGACCAACTCTTGATTTTGACTTAGGTCATGATCTCGCTATTTGTGGGATCAAGCCCTGGGTTGGGCTCTGTGCTGACATCATGAAAGCTGCTTTGGATTCTCTCTCTCTCTCTTTCTCTCTTACTCTCTATTTAATAAAAAGGAATTCAGATAATTTTCTATCCATCTGGAAAAATAACACTTTGATTTCTACCTTTGAAGATTCACAAAAATGTGTTCCAGGTGGACCAAAGACCAATGTATAAAAACAAAAACAACAAAAATGAAAAGTATATAAATATATTGTAAGAAAAACAGGAAAATGCCTCTGACCTCAGAGCAGGGAAGATCTCCTTTAAAAAAAAAAAGCACAAGGAAATGCATAAAAATAGATAAATTTGTTTTGGTCAAAATAATTTCAAAGACAAAAACACTACAAAGTTAGAGAATAAGTGACATGCTTGTAAAAAATTACAGCATACAGTAGACGGACTTTAACAAATATCTAAGAAGAAAAGCATAAAAGCAGTCTAAAGTCAGATGAGAAGGAGACAACAGTAGGCTCAGGAAAAATCAACTCCATGTACTTGCCATTGGTGAAATGCCAACTGAGAGAATGAGCTACCATTTTTATTCATCAGACTGGCAACCAACAAGTTTAATTTCTTTAAGTACCATGTGTTAACAACGGTTGGGGAATAGGCACCCCCTATATGGCCTGTGATTATATAAAGATATAGTAACTCTGCAGGGCGATTGAATATTTTCTAGGAGAAAATTTTAAACACTCTTACTTTCTAATAGTTACCCTCCTAAATACTTACTCTGGAGAAATTCCTGCACATATACATGGTTGCATGACCAAGAATATTCCAGTATTAAAAAAAAAAAAGTGTTCCAGTATTATCTGAAATATAATTTTCCATTTCCAAAAGGAAATGGAAACAACTTAAATATCTATCAAAATAAAACTATTAAATACATTTTATAAATTATGGCACATTCATACCATGGAATACTTTTGGAGAAGTTTTTAAAAAAATGAAACTTATATATTGCTCTGGAAAAAAAATAGAAGATGTCCTTTTGAATGAAGAATGCAAGTTTCTTTTTTTTCTTAAATGTTTTATTTATTTCTGTGAGAGAGAGAGAGACAGTGTGAACAGAAGAGGGTCAGAGAGAGGGACACACAGAATCTGAAAGGGGCTCCAGGCTCTGAGCTAGCTGTCAGCACAGAGACCAATGCGGGGCTCGAACCCACGAACTGTGAGATCATGACGTGAGATGAAGTTGGGTGCTTACTTAACTGAGCCACCCAGGTGCCCCTGAAGAATGCACGTTTCAAATGGATCTCTTCAATGTGGTACAGTTATCATAAAGAACATGCTCACATTTATTTTTTTTTTTTTTTACAAATAGTTTATTGTCAAGTTGGTTTCCATATAACACCCAGTGCTCATCCCCACAAGTGCCCCCCTCCATGCCCATCTCCCCTCTCCCCCCCACACCCATCAGTCATCAGTTTGTTCTCAGCATTCAAGAGTCTCTCATGGTTTGGCTTCCTCTTTCTACCTCACTATTTTTCCGCTTCTTCTCCCCCATGGTCCTCTGATAAGTTCCTCCTAATCCTCCTATACGTGCAAATATATGGTATTTGTCCTTCTCTGCCTGACTTATTTCGCTCAGCATAACACCCTCAAGGTCCATCCACGTTGCTACACATGGCCAGATTTCATTCTTTCTTATTGCCATGTAGTATTCCATTGTATAGATAAACCACATCTTCTTGATCCATTCATCCGTTGATGGACACTTAGGCTCTTTCCATGATTTGGCTATTGTTGAGAGTGCTGCTATGAACACTGGGGTACATGTGCCCCTAGGCATCAGCACTCCTGTATCCCTTGGGTAGATTCCTAGCAGTGCTATTGCTGGGTCATAGGGGAGAAAATACTGTATGTCTAATGCAGAAAGGGAAGAAAGTCCTGGATCAGTGCATGTGAATGTTAGTTAGTGGGATCAGGAGAGTGTTCTCAGATTAGCTATGGTTTGTAAAAGGTGGCTTTAAAGTTTCTTGTAATATGTTAATATTTTAAGGTGCATGTATATAGGTGTATGTGTGTGCATTTTTTGTAACATATTTTATGTATTAAACATATGTATATTTTATAATGTATGCTTACATATTATATATTATACCTAAATATTTATATAAAACTTGTACAGTTTTATAAGATAGGAAATTCGTTTTAGAAGTGCATATTCTTTTTTTTGTAGTAATCACTTTTAATTTATTAAAAATGGATGACCGTTTTTACTATTTTGACCGTGATGATGTGGCTTTGAAGAACTTTGCCAAATACTTCCTTCACCAATCTCATGAGGAGAGGGAACATGCCGAAAAGCTGATGAAACTGCAGAACCAACGAGGTGGCCGGATCTTCCTCCAGGATATCAAGAAACCAGACCGTGATGATTGGGAGAACAGGCTGAACGCAATGGAGTGTGCGTTACACTTGGAAAAGAGTGTGAATCAGTCACTACTGGAACTGCACAAGCTGGCCACTGACAAAAACGACCCCCATTTGTGCGACTTCATCGAGACACATTACCTGAATGAGCAGGTGAAATCCATCAAAGAATTGGGTGACCACGTAACACCAACCTGCGCAAGATGGGGGCCCCTGAATCTGGCATGGCAGAGTACCTCTTTGACAAGCACACCTTGGGAAACAGTGATAACGAGAGCTAAGCCTTAGGCTGTCCTCCCGTGGGTGATTTCTCTGGTCACCGAGGCAGTGCATGCATGTTGGGGTTACCTTTCCCTTTTCTATAAGTTGTACCAAAACATCTACTTAACTTCATTTGTACCATTCCTTCAAATAAAGTAATTTGGTACCCCCCCCCCAAAAAAAAACAAAAAAAAAACTTGACTTCACTCTGGATACCAGAAATTAGGAAGGATCCATGAAAGAAAAGGCTCCTAAATGAGGACTTGACATGAATTAAATTGAAAGAGTAAAACTTAGTTTAAGCAGGAATCATGGAGTAAAGAAATACATGTTCAATACTCAGTACTTTTTCCAAGATTGTTTAGCATTTTAATAGCACACATTTCATCCTGAGTAGCTAAAGTGAGGATAAGACCACTAAAATTGACTATGTTGTATTTTTTTGTTCACTTCATATTGAATTGCTATTAAAGCCCTTTAATATGTCTTAAAGTGTAATTTGGGAACAACCCAGAATAAAATGATTATGCATGTTAAAATAGCATTTGATATTTTGTACCTTCACAAATAGATTTTTATTAGTCCCACACTTACTGTAATATTTTTTCCTGAACTCTTCATTTTGGTCCTAACTCTAACTTAGTTTATTATTGCCTCAGTTTGATATTGAAATTGCTATAAAAATAAGATTATATTATAGTCTGTACAGTGGCAAATATTAAGGGAATTTAAAGAGGAACTTCATAACCAATCCTGTTGCCTCTGTTGTTATTTAAATATATTTCTCGAAATATTGAAATTTCATAATCAAAAATTGTCAAGTTAATATAAATAGTTTTTGAAAGACCTTTCTAGTTAATTTAAAAATTCTATCTTAAAAATCATGTTGTCAATTTGGCAATTTTTAGACTATAACAAAGTTATTTTCTTAAGATATAAAAGTATATATATTTGGGAAGTATTTTTTCCCCTAGAGATTACCTTCAGGAATTTTAGACTATACTAAATAAAATATTGTCAAAAGGAATTGAACAAATATCCTATCCCACTTTAAAAAAGAAGACAATTTTCTTCAACAGCGCTCTGGCTTCTTAGAGCCGCCTCCACATTCAATTGTGTTTTAATGTTGGATTAGCTCTGGGAATCAACACTAAATGACCCAGCTGCTCCCAGTGGCCATCCGCTCTGAAGCTGCAGGATCTGACCCAGCAGAGAGAGATACAAGGAGCGTGAGAAGCATTAGTAAATGAATAGAAGCATCTTTGAGACTTTAACAGTTTTTCTTCTTGAAAAAAAGTCTTTATCCAAACCTTTCTTAGAAGAGCATGTTAGTGAACTGGCTAACAGCATGAACTTTATAATCACACAAATCTCGGTTGAAGTCTGTCTCCATTTTTACTAGCTCTGTGACTGATCATAGCATTTTTCTTACCTCTCTAAACCAGACCTGTAGAGTAGTGATAACAATACCCACCTAAGGGTTATTATGATAATTCGGTGAGATAATGCAAGTAAAGCATTTACTACCTGGTACATAATAGATGCAAAAAATAGTGTATTTCATCAAATCTAAGAGAACTGTCATTGTAAAATATACCATTATTTTATGTACCACAGGTAAAGAAAAAGCCCACAAATTATGATACCATTGAGAGGCATCTCCATTTCAGAAATGTTAACATATGAAAAATACGTTAATTTGGGATAGATAAATACAGTGATGACCTCTTTCATCAGACTGTTGTTCTATTAACTAAAGTAACCATTGTAATCTCTGCTTATCATTCAAATTGAGTCTTTAACAGGTGTTTATTTTCTTAAATACTACTTTTATATAGGGGCGCCTGGGTCGCTTAGTCGGTTAAGCGTCCGACTTTTGCTTAGGTCATGATCTCGCGGTTCGTGGGTTCGGGCCCCGCGTCGGGCTCTGTGCTGACTGCCAGCTCAGAGCCTGGAGCCTGTTTCAGTCTGTGACTCCCTCTCTCTCTGACCCTCCCCTGCTCACGCTGTCTCTCTCTCTCTCCTACAAATAAATAAAAAACATTTAAAAAAAATACTACTTTTATATAGAATATATAAAAATAAGATATTTTTCTTTCTTTCAAAATAACTTGGAGGCTCCTAGGTGGCTCAGTGTGTTAAATGTCTGACTCTTGATTTCAGCTCAGGTCATGATCTCATGGTTTGTGAGTTCAAGCTTCACATCGGGTTCTGTACTGACAGCGCAGAGCCTGCTTGGGATTCTCTGCCTCCCTCTCTCTGTCTCTGCCCCTCCCCTGCTTTCTCTCTCTATCTCTCTCTTTCAAAAATAAATAAATAAACATTAAAAAAAGAATTTGTAATGAATTTGGAAAAACAAATGTGCGTTAGTCATACGGCAATTCAGACTTCTTAAGCAGAAGTAGCTCCTGTAACCTCTCTGGCCAACAGTCTTCTAACTCATGTTTGGATGTGCCCTGGTAGCAACCTTGGTTGGATAAGCATGTCCTAACTTCCCATTTCTGGAGAGACCTAGGTTTTAGAATGTTATTCTTCTTTATGTTGTATTACACCTGTTTCAAAAAGCCATCATGTGATCCTTGTTCTGTCTTTATATCACTCATAATATTAACTAGCTGTCCTACATAGCAGTCCAACAAAAAGTAGTCTATAGCTATTTTGTCTCATTTTTTTCCTTTAACAAGTTGTCTTTTCCTTGTATAGTTGCCTTGTAGAAAATCTTAGAGTTAAATATATGCTAGACAGTGTTCTGCATGGTAGAGGAGGTTTACTTCATGCAATCTTCTAATGATCCTTCATATTTAACACATACCATTGATGTCCTAATTTTATAGTGGAAGAAATGGGTATAGTTAACCCTTCTCTGCTTTTCAGAGTGATAAGCAGTGGAGCCAGGGCCTAGCCCAATGCCTGTCACTGTTGAGGAACACTTAATAAACAAGTGCATTGCTTTTTAAAATAACCTCGCTCTCTCACGGTTTTCTCACAACTGCATTTCTTGGAATTCATTATAGAAAAGAAATGTCCTTCATAAAATATAGCATCCCAGACAGGAAACAATTCTTCAGAAGTGATCTGATGCCATAAGGGTATAGGAAGCCTATTACCTTGGCAGTTAGAAAGTAGCACTCTGTTTGTAAGCTAAGTTTATGCTCACTTCTTAAGCATATACAGCATGCAGAAGGCTCTTTGTGAAGAGTGTTCAAGTGAAAACCTTAGTATCTTATTCTATAAGCATCTATCAAAATTTTTAGCCTCTATCTTTTAGCTTATGCCATTGTTTGATAATTTTTTCAGTCTACTTTTAGAAGCAACATAGATATTTACATTTGTGCTTATTAAAATGCATGTGCATATGAAGAATTATTGAGATATTTTTAAACTCATTTTGGGGGGGAAGAGAGAGAGCATGTACATGTGAATACATGAGGAAGGGCAGAGGAAAAGGAGAGAGAGAATCTTAAGCAGACTCCATACCAAGCATGGAACTCGATCCCAAGATTCTGGGATCATGACCTGATCAGAAATCAAGAGTCAGATGCTAAATTAACTGAGCCACCCAGGTTCCCTGGATATTTTAAAATCTAAAGTTTATTCCCTAATGTGTTATTTACTCCTTCTGGGAATAGTTAATATACAAAATTTAATGTTTTATATCTTTTTATGACTATGTATCCACTCATTTTAAGAAATTAGAATATTTTCAACAATAACTCAGCCTCTGAGGCACAAGTACTCAATGTGGATTAGAATAAATCAGCCACATAATATCTACATGCCTCTACTTTTCTAGAATCCAAAGCCATGTTTCATTTGTTGGAGGATAGTTTCTGGTGCCTGAGATTTTATTACTGTCAGAAAGAATAGCTGATCCTTGAGGTTATGAGGGAAAGATTGTGATGATCCCCAGAGCCTGGTGATAATTTTTATAGATGGCACCTGTTTTAAGTTTTGATTTACCCCAGTTTTGATGATTACAACCCTTAAAGTAGAATCACCATACATTGATAGCAAAACTGTTTTTCTAATGGATGCTTTTAACTTCTAAGATCTAGGACTTGGTCAAAAAGTCTATCTTCTGCAAAGTAATACACTTTGTGAGTTGGTAAATATATCTCTCCGATTTCATTCTCTGTATTGAAAATTAATCTATTCCTCTGCTAAAAGTGATTTTCTGAATATATAAACTAGATTGTGTACTTTCCTAGGAAAGGGGAGCAAAATTTCAGGAAGAAGTCAACATAGATGTCTCGGTGGGGACGGGGGGTTTCTCTAAGGATCTGGGATTTCTTGTATCTTTGTTTCCTTCTGGATAAAACCTAGTATTTATTTGTTTATACCTCAACAGCACAGTGGTCTTAGATCTTCTGAGAATAGTTTACAATGAAGGTTCAGTATGAAACATAACGGATAGTACAAAACCAATCCTTCTAATCCTTTTGGTCAATTTTCCAAGAACATAGTGTTTTAATTTTGCCCAAACTGACATGCACATGCTTTCATGGCTTCTTGCCTCTTCCTTACTGATTCATATTTGACCACCTGGAAGGGTTTTATAGGAATCTGAAAGCTCATAAATTTCTCTGTGTAATTCCTTCTTAGATGATAAAAAAGTTAAGTAAATTTATTGGTTGAGGATTCCCAGCATGAACTTTTGTGTTCAGAAAAGTGCCTGTTTGTTCCAATTTCTTGTCATTTTTCAAATGTAAATAAATGTTTACTTAATACGTATTTTCTCCCAAATATAATCTTAGAAGTCACTGGTTCAGTATCTGCCCAAGGATTGAATTCAGCTGAAATGTAGGGAACCCTTAAGGACTTCTCTCTGAAGCAAACCATTTTACATTTACACAGTGTTGTCAGCTAGATGATATCACCAAAGGAGACATTACCCAGGAATTCACTGCAGACTTTCTTTAAATAGTTAAGTTCTCTCATATGTTAGGGGGAAAACACAGAAATTAAATTTGCATACACTTGTGTGAGTCTAAAATAATGTTATCTGTTGCGTTCGTGAGAAAATCTCATTTTTTTGCAGGTATACAATATATTTCTATTCAGGCATCTTGTTATGTCCAAATTACTCTTTAGAATGGTATACTCCTTCTCCCTATTTAGTGAGTTAAGGCAGCATGACAGCATATAAAGAGCAAAGGGTCCAAAATAAAA